ACGCGGAACTTAGGAAGTCATCGCAAACTGCTTCCAGCAAACCGTCGATCAATGTGAAACATTGTCCCGCAACATTACAGAGTTCCCAATTTCCCTCGCTGATGAGAAAAAATCTGGGAATTAGAGGGAAAGTTTTCTAAAAACGTTTCTCGGCTAGTAATGTGTTACTGAAAATTTATCGAGTTGAAGCAGTGGGAGAGGACCCTGTAGCCATAAAGGGATAGGTAAAGTCTGCATGCGAGCCAAGTGGCCCATCAGGCCGGAGCTTATCCCGGTTTCTGTAGCATGAAGCGACTAGGAGTATTTCTCCTCCCCCCTGGATGGGATGCTGGTCCATCGCAGGGAAACGTGATAACTGCTCCATTTTGTCCTTCATCTCTACTGTGTTTTATCGTCGAATTTTTAGCATTGTCAGTAAAGCCTTTTTCATTGTGCTCTCTGCACTTGGGACAGGCATGATGCATCTATCCAGAATCACAGTGCATTTCAAAATCTAGTGGGGCAGCGATACATATGTTCTTCGCTCTGCGCCAGTTACAAGAGAAGTTTCGTGATCAACGCTTTTGACTCGGTCAGCAGCAAAAGTGCCCTATTCATCGGCTTTCGAAGGTTGATTGCCCCCTTAAGCTCCTAGTGATAATCAGGTCCTTTTAAGAAGACATGCAGGGTACAGTCCCGTTCAACGGTGAATCCTCGGACACCTTCCCATTTAACAATTGAGCAAACTGAAGGCAAGTGCACTTGAAGGCAAGGTACACTAGTTTTGCCAATTATTGAATTTCGACACAATGAACATTCTCGGATTATCATTTATTCTCTAGGAACCACTCCAATTGTATGTTTTTTTCAATATGATAATAATTAGAAAGACTGTGATCTAAAAATCTCCCAAGACAACACTAACCATTAGTTACAACACAACATGTCCTAATGACATGGAATGATTTGGCAGCCGTTTTGATAGTCCTGACGGACTGCCCTCAATAAAGATGTTCAATTGGCTTCATCAAGTTTAACCAGAAGCCCGTAAAGAATTATGGATCCACGTTCCTTAGTGGACCATTCAATTTCCTGATTGCTAAACTTCGGGTCGATCTCAGATGTAGCGCCGATTGTCTGAGGGCCAACTTGATAACTCTCTGGGTTGATACACAGCTGCAGAACTGCTTTTGAGCTGAAAGTCTTGTTTGTTGACGGGTCTTGAAAACTACAAGATCACAGAAAAGCCATAATATGATAAGTGAATACAGGCAAGCCATATAGAAAATAGACGGTTTTCGTGCGATGTTTTAATATGATTGTAATGAAAGTTTTCTAAAAATAATGGTTGACAATTAATAGAGGCTCGACCTGAAGGGACGCCGTGGCCTCTTGGTTAGTGCGCTCGCCTCTGTTTCGAGCGGCCCGAGTTCTAGCCCTTGCCGGGGACATTGTGTTGTGTTCTTGGGCATAACACTACTCTCAGAGCCTCTCTCCACCCAGGTGTATATAGAGGATATTACACGGTGGCGAGAAGATATGAATTGTATGTTCGAGTGGCAAGAACAATATCTCACGAGTTCGCTTCGCTCACTCGTGAGATATTGTTCTTGCCACGAGAACATAAAATTCATATCTTCGAGCCA